TCCACTCAGATTTTCAGTTCCAGTTCATTTTCCAAGACTCACAGACTCACGAATCGTGAGCCACTGTGGAATGGACGACGCGAAAAGTACTTCGAAACGCGATTTATTTCAGTTTTATTTAGTGAGGGGGAAATCGCGCATTTGTATTACGTTCAATATTATTATTGAAGCAAACTTTCGTAGAACGCGAGTGAAAAATTGAAAGAAAAGAACGAACGCGAATTGATATCTTTTTTGAATTTACGATAGATGAAAATTTGAATAAAATACGCGACGATAATTGGGAAGTATCAGTTAAACGCGTAAAAATATTCAATAATAAGCGAACTAGGGATGAAGCTATTGTTTCAAAACGCGATTCACCGACTCTGGTATTTATAAAAATTGAAAAATTCAGAAAATTAGCGGTAAACTACTGAGACGGTTTAATTAGGGTGGGCACAGTGCAACGAGTGTAGTCCACTCGTTGCAAATCAGCAAATCACAATATAAAATAAAATAATTCAACTAACTACATCATGCAAATCATGCAAATCCTTGGATAGCTGTGAATTATTAGTTGACAAAGTAACAAGTCGTAAAATCAATTCAATATCACAGAAAATCATAGAAAAATTGTAAAAATAAAAGAAATTCAAGAAACTGAAAGAAAATTTCAAATTAGATTCAATAGCTGAAATAAAAGTAAATATTATTAAGCTGTAACGACAAATTTTGAATTAATTTCGATAAACACCTGAAACGCCGAAAATTTTCATTAGTATAATAGAACCTCGAATTCGTTTGAAATCAACGTCCTATTCCTACCCCAAAATAAAAATCTCGATTTCCCTAAACTCTCAAACTAATTTCGCGATTTCCGATTCGAAGGGGAATATTTAAAGACCGATAATAATTTATTAATAAATATCGATACTTGGAATTTACTGAAATTAATTTCAAAATAAAAATTTCATGTAGAATATGCAAAGTCTGATAGTACTTGCCCATAAGCATTAATAAATGCAAAACCAATTTAGTTTAGTTAAAAAGAAAAGAAAAATTCAAAGTCTAATAGTAACTTTCCAAGTATCGATAATTCAGAATGCTAGTGTATGTTAAGTTTGAGAAGGCAGAGTGTGTATAGAGAGGACATAGGCTAGCTAGTAGCCCCCGACCACTCTATTCACATCTCAGAACCTTTAAGACTAATTTGCCGCGAAGTGTCTATGGCCCAGTATAAAGGGTGAATGAGTTCCCGCGACCTCGGCGGGTCCTTATATAACTTCGGTACCCTCTCCCCAAAATCTTTAGCAAAATTGGGCGCGAAACCTCCTTTTACGCGGGAAATCGACTACTTTTCGCGGGAGATCGACCATATTTCGCGGGAGATCGACCATTTTTCGCGGGAATTGATTATTTTTCGCGGGAGATTTCCATTATTCTATTCTAACTTTATAACAGCCTATAATTTATTAATTTTCACAAGTTTTATTGTAAATTCATACTTCTCACAATTTCTTACAACACAACATATTATCATTTATACATTTTTGCAATTTTTTTCGGCGAATAATTACGTTTTAACGTTATTATTACTTTCTCGTGGTGGGACTGTGTTCGTAACGATTAAAATCAGGTTGACCTGCGGTCGTGCACTGAAGAAATAGCCAGAGTGAAGGTAGAATTATTACGTTAATTACATTTTCTTACAAATCGAAAGTTTATTCAACGTTTGTTTGTTATAATATCGTGAAATGAATTATATTACACATTTTCTCTATTCACACTGAATTTAAAGATTATAACGATTAAAAATCAAGTTGACCTGTGTTCATTTATCAAGAATAATCATAATAAAGCTGAAATTATTGTGTTAAATAATTTTTTTAATACGAATTAGGAATTTATTCAACGTTTGCTTGTTACTACTTGTTACAGTATACTGTCTCGCAATGTAAATTTAAGTAAATTAGGTTGAACTGCACAGAAAATGCACAGAACTGCACAAATAATTCATTTCACGATATTATAACAAACAAACGTTGAATACATTTTCGATTCGTGTAAAATGAATTATTTAACGCGATAAATTTAGCTGTACTATGGTTATTTTTAATCTACGACCACAGGTCAACCTGATTTTTAATCCTTAGCAAATTAATTAAACCACCAGTAAGTAACGAGGGCATTGAAACGTAGATATCCATTGAAGAAAGTTATAGAAACGTATAAATGATTCTATGTAGCGTTATAATAGATTGTTGCAAGTAATAAATTAATAATAAAATTGTGAAAATTAATAATTATACCGTGTTACAACATCATAATAGAAGAACAAAAATTTCCCGCGGAAAGTAATCGGTTTCCCGCGAAAAATTGTCGATTCCCGCCTGACCTAACCGACGATTTTGCTAATGACTTTGGGGAGAGGGTACCGCAGGTATATAGGGACCCCCCGATGTCCCGCGAATTTATTCACCCTTTATACTGGGCCATAGACACTTCGCGGCGTATTTTGACCTGAAGGTTCTGAGATGTGAATAGAGTGGTCGGGGGCTACTAGCTAGCCTAGGTCCACCCTGTGTAATTTGTTTTTGTAATTCATCCAACGCGATATATTATGAAATTAAATTAATCACTCAATAAGTATTAACATTAGATTGTTTCCTATATGGCCATGGTGGTCATCAGTGACTGGAGTGCCTCAAATGTTTAGAATAATTAAAATAAAATAAATGTTGTCAACTAAAAATTTTGAACGTCATAGCTAGCTAGACATTATTTTCAATTGAAAAAAAAAAAAAAAATTATAAAGCATAATACTATAATCCTATGTATGCTTAAAATGTATTTTCTTGTGGCCGCCTGACAGCAACCTGTATAAAATTTGTATAGAAATGTGTGAAATTGTTACATAGAAACTATAAAAACTAAAATAAATTATTATCAGTTATGAATTGCACGCAAAATATAGATATTAAACTGATGTTTTAAAGGAATTGGTGTACAGGGTGATTCACCAAACTTGACCTGAAATTTCTCGTAAACTATTTGCTATACGAAATAGTCTTAGAAGCAAAAGTTGCATGATTTCAAGCTGGACATATGTTACGATAATAATTTTTTTTCCAAAAGGGCAAATTGGAAATATCTCGAAACGAGAAACATATGACTTAAGCCATATTCATAATTAAAGGTGAAAGAAGGTACGAATGTTTTACAGACGAGCAAAATCGACACAATGTAGAGCTACTGGAAAAATGCCTCTGCGTGGTTTGCATCGACGACGACGTACTGCCAACAACGTTCAACAATCCCCTGAAGAGAGAAGATCGATGGATCAGCGACCGAGATTATGCGAATGTACTTCATCACGTTCTCCACGGCGGAGGTTCCAGACATTTGGGTGCAAATCGCTGGTTCGATAAAACTTTCCACGCTATTCTCGGCAAGGTACATAGATATCTATAACTATATCCCCGACGATTAAAACAGAGATTGAAGTAGTAACTTCAGTTCAACAAAACGTTACTCTTCCACTTCGCTCGAGCTATTCTTATTCGAACGATTTTTTCTATTCACAGTGCTAAATTGACTCGTGCCTTTGTGTAGATAGAATAGAGAACTTGAAAATTTCAAACTATATAATTCTTGCTTCTGTTGTGGCGAATGAACTCATTTTTCATGGTAATTCACGATTATCGTTTTCTTGTTGTACGTTTAGTTGTTCAGATTTAAAAACAATTATACTAGCACGTGATTGACATTGTCAAGCTTTTGATTGTTTATTGTTGTTAAAAGATATTTAGAAAAGGCACGACATTATTAAAATTAAACAAAAAATTTGTTAACACCTCTTTATATGAGTAATTGCTATACCTATTCGCTATCATTTACATTGGCTATATTTTACTTACATTTATCGCATGATATACAGGGTGTTTCGTTTAACTGGAAACGGTGAAATATCTGACGAGGAATTGAAGTTATCATAAAAATGTTCTTACAAAAGTTATTCGGTATACAGAGGGATGTTAGATGGTCTAAATAATTTTTCTATAGGTGTAGCAGTGGAGGAGATATCAGAGTCAAGTTAATTTTTGTAAATAGAAGTCTGTATGCTTTTATTCGTAATATTACAGCGTTTGTTGAGATTTTTCTAAGAACCTTGTTTTCGTAACATCAATCCCTCGTGAGATATTCCACCGTGATATTTAATCTTGCTCACTTTTATTATATTTCGAAAGACGTCTGTTTTCCTAGTTTAATACTTGTCAGTTTCTTAATAAATATCAATATACAATATAAAAAGAAAAATAAAGTTTCCCGTAAACTTTCTAGGTGACTTGAAATTAGGACGAAAAAGGTGTAAAAACCATATGGAATATTCATGAATATCGCTAATTTATACCTTCTTTTTTATCAACCCCCTGTTAAATTACAGTTTATTCGGAAAAGTAGTGTATACCAAAGTGTCAAAGCGATTATTCGCTTGAATTACACGATAATCATGTTAGTTTCGTTAGAAATTCATTCTCAGCTAACATGTTCTAATCAAATATACCAATCACACTCATTTGTTTGCCAAAGGACGGAATGTGGGGCATGAACTACGAACATTCAGCCGGCGAAGGTCCAGCGATTTTTATTACGTTCGAAGAGCTAACGGAAAAGGTAGATGCTATGTCACCACCGGAAGAAAACATGATAATATCTCATTTACCAGCACCGGAAAAACTCGAATGGCATCTATCTGAGCAGAATCTGAACGACATTAGAGATGCTACGGCAACTTTTGACGCGTAAGTGACGATGATAGTGGCCCCAGCTAACGCGCCTGACAATAAATACGGCCCTGACTCTTCATATTCAGCTTTAATCTTAACACTTTACCGACCGGTAGCGGTGAAACATCCCACGCACTTCTGACCGCTCACTCGACCACAGATACATCGTTGACACCGGCTCTGTTCAGACTGTAGGCTATCGCGCGGGAATATATGCGCTTTTTCTTGTACCTATAGAAATGTTAAATCAAACTTTGACCGATTAATAGGCTACCGGTCGGTAAGCGTTAGCGGTAAAAAAGCGATTAATAGGTTACCGGTCGGTAAGCGTCGACGGCAAAAAGCCGATTAATAGACTACCGGTCGGTAAAGTGTTAACACCTTGCCGTATAATAACGAGTCAGACTCGTGTCACAGATTTTGGTCAAGATCTGATAATAGTAGTTATATCGGTAATAAAAATTCATTTTAATTCCAATTTTCGATTTAATTTGTAAAACTGAATATTTAATTAATCTACAGTTTATATTAGCTGTAATATTAGCTGTAGAAATAAATTCCTTCCGACTGGATTCACATAACTGATGCAAAACCACCGAGTTTCTATCGCGATGGTGTAAGCTGCCAGGAAAATGACAAAAGGTCATCAACAATAATGGAAATTATTTTGATTTTTAAATAAAACTTTGATTACACCCAAAAGTCGAAAAGAATTCATTTCTACACCTAATACATTAGCTGTTCTTACTTGATATCTGTGGTACTAAAACAGTAAATGGCTGACGCTTAGACGTGTCGGCAGAAAAAGAAATCATGCGTCAAGGGGTTGATGATTCATGAAAACACCTCTATTGTTCATTCACATGTATGTTATGTAGGTTGGTGGAGGACTTAGATCTTTGCATATTGTGGTTCCAAGAATATTCGAAGGAATTTATAAAGTCTTGTAAAATTAGTCCGGATGTTTTCATACAACTGGCACTGCAACTTACACACTTTAGGTGAGTACGTATTATACATATGTTTGTAATTAATTGCATTTCGAATAAATCTTTTGTTTTAAGCGACTCTTTTAAAACGTTATAATTCATTGACGAGTATTTTGCTATCGCTATCAAATATTCTCATAAGTATTCTCATAGTGTCAAAAAAAAAGAAAATACTAATCTGTCTTAATGTTACAAATGTATTATAATTTGATAACTTTAAGTAAAGCTACGATAAATTTTCAGAATTTTATTTAAAAAACTTATCAGCAATGCATCTTTTGAAACTTCGGAAATACGATACGATGTGAAATGATATTTCACCCAAATTTAAGAATAAATAATTGTAATTAAATTGATACGTTTTTTTCTTAAAAACTTACTTTTTAAATCAAATGAGATCAATATTACAAGAAGTGTAAAGAAACTGTAAGCAAAAGTTTAAAAGCTAATAGTCTAAAAGAGATAACGTCAGCTTTTTAAAAAAAAGCGAATACTTTTCTGCCTGTTCAGAAACATTAGAAATTTACGATGCTAATTATTCCAGCAATAATGAAATTCATACTGAACAGTCATAATATTCTCATTCAAAATTCCTAATTAATCGCGATCATGCAGTTATCGACTTCTAAATAACAATATTTCAAAAGTAACAAAACTTCAATTAGAAAAAATTAAAAAACAAAAAAAAAAGCTGAAAGAATATAATTTCTTAGTAAGTGTTCTTTATTTCACACAGATTACACGGAAATTTAGTAGCAACTTACGAGAGCGCAGGCATCCGAAGATTTGCACTGGGAAGGGTCGATTGTATCCGAGCAGCCAGTCCGGAAGCTCTAAGTTGGGCGAAAGCCATGTGCCAAGGCGATCCTGAAAATCAGAACGCAAATCAGCAAAACGGCAGCCCAGACGAAGGCGCCAAAAGAGTTCAGTTCACCATTTACAGTGTAACTGAAACTTGGCTGTATTTTGTAGAGATTGTCATTTGTAGTTAGTGATATGACATATTCGATAAACGAGATTCAGCGGAATTTTTTAAAATAATTTTCAAACGATAATTGCGAAACAGTTTCGTAAAATCTGATTGCACTGTTAGATTAGTTACTTTCTCCTTTATCAAATCTACGTAAAAGAAATTCTAACGAAAATTTTTATTAAATAAAAAATACTTTACATTATTGTATAGTGCCTTTTTTTTTTTCTAACTTGTGTGGAGAAGGTAGCAAGGTAAATTGATTACTGGAAAACTGATCCGATTTATGTCGTGTTTCGAGATTCATTTTCATCGGGAGAATCTTACCAATTCATTGGTACTACTTTCATGAAAGATAGGATGAAAATTAGAGAAACTGAAATTTTTGAAATCGGACGATTTGTTACAACGTAAGCGGTGTCTCTTTCAAATATTGTGTCTCGATCGTCGTTGCTTGACACACTAAATACATTTGTCTCGAGAAAGTCTATGCCCCCGAAAAGAGGCAAATGAAAGAGTTGTGTATATCTTTGTAAGACATAAGACGACGAGAGAATATTGCTGCCAAAAGTGAAACAACGATCGCGTTACAAATATAACATATACACCTATGACGTTCACCTGTTAAACCACTGTACATACAAGTCTCGCTTACAATTAGTAGGGTTTGTCGTGTAGAAAAGCAGCGGAGGAGAAATCCACGTGACTCCCCAATATATTCAGCTCCGACTGTAGTCAAGTCTTTCACGAACGTCTGAAAACACGTTATAGTACGATAAATCTTGAAGAATAAGATAAGACATAAATGCAGAATACACAGGGTGACTGATAAATTTGTTTAAAAAATTCAAGGTCGCCGTAATATCTCGTAAATAAAAAGATTATTTTAAAAAACCGTGTCAACGTCGTATGTTCCTTTCGACACGGTTCATTTTCTACTGTAAAACACTTTTTTGTAAAATACGTACATTAGGAGTTATTCGGGGTGGACAAGTTATGTGACTCAGCCTGTATAAAAAGAAAGAGCGAAATGACAAAGGAGAGAAATACTCGAAAAAAGAAATGGCAATCAATTAGGTTGACCGTGTTCCTTCTCTTTCCTATTTAAGTGTTTGCACAGCTCTCGAACAGCCTCGGGTGTGTTTCATAGGGGTTTTCCGTTTGCGTTCTTTCCACGATTCACCCTCGTTTGGAAATTGGCGCAGTGAGCTCGCTGTTGTTTCTCGTTTATCACGATGTTATTTCAGCCGCCCCGTTCCCTGCAATTACTCCGGTGTTCATCGAAAATGCACGATAATGAAATTGACTCCCTTTGTACGTGTAGTTTTCTACCCTAACGAGCTCGTATAACCTACGTTTCCGTGGCTACACTCATTCCAACATACTGTATACAGGTTGTCTCATAGCTTACACTAACAGCAAAACAATACGATTGATTGTCCAAGTATAAGTAGACAATGTGAAGAATAATGTTTCCAGAGGAAAATATGTTGAACTTAAAAATTGTTCCAAAAATTGAATTTAAAAACTGCAACTTGGCTTGTAGAATACGAAAGACTATCGATAGAAAATAAATTACTAATAATACCAGCAACATTAATTTCGAAACGATAAGAAAAATAACAATAGTGTTAATATTTCATCTAAATTCAAACTAAAAGGTGCTTCTATGAATCTGAATTTTTTTAATCCTACTTACACAGCCGTGTTAAAACTTGCAAACAAATGTGAGATATAAAATTTTACACACAGGGTGTCTTTTTCAACTGGACACACGCTGGAATATCTCAGAAGTTACTGAAGCTGTTGAAAAAATGTTCTTACAAAAGTTGTTTGGTATGACGAGGGACATGATGTGGTGTAAACAGTTTTTTCGCGGATGTCAAATTAATTTTTTCAAACCGAACGCTATATTTTTCTATTCTTAGTATTGTAGCATTTGTTGAGACGAATTCAACGAGGTACCGCGTGTATTTATTTTCTTTACTTATTTCTAATATCCGCAAAATTTCGTACGTTGAATCTGATTATAGCAATTTAATTGTATCATTAACTCTGAGATCACTTGCATACAGAAACACGTGTATCAACATGTATACAAACATCGCACTGTTACCATGGAATTTAATGGTCGTAAATCATTTGTAAAATAAACCTAAACGTAACACATGCGTGTATCCTCTTTATTCGTAATAGAAATGTCTTTTTATCCTTGCCTTTCCAGCAAGAGAGAATCAAGGAGTTGTTTGATCTAGCGGTACAAAGGCAGACCAAGGAGATGACCGACAACATAAATGGTTATGGAATTGACAACCATTTAATGGGGCTTCGTTATGCTGCACAAGAAGCTGGAGAACCGATCCCGGATATATTCACGGATCAGTCTTACAAGATCGTCAATCATTTTGCCCTCTCGACATCGCAGGTCGGTAATGATGATTAAGAATCAATTGGTACTTGAAATTCTCATGTACACGTAATAAGCTTTGATTACATTTTCAAATTGTCATTGTGAGATCGTTACGTGCAATAACTCGAGGAAGTTTTGTCATCCCGTCAACATCATTCATCAAGTTAATCGTGCCGATTACACACATTCTTAGCAAGCAGAAAGATATCGATCATTGATCCTTTCGTTGCGACGTACTTCAGACAAAAAGTGCTCGCTGTGTATTTGAAAATAAACTGTTTCATGACTGTCGACAGAAAATAAATTATTTATAAATTAATAAATTTCTTAAAGATCTGAATAATTTTTAACGACTGTTTAGGTTGGTTTTACATTCACTAATTGTACATAGATAATGTACCTATTGCTTAGTACGTAAAATTATTTAAAATCTTGAAGTTAACAGAAAGTTAAATATCGTAACAAATGAAAGTGAAATTTCTAAGTTAAATTATCAAGACGAAAGTAAAGACACAATTTAAAGGGGAATACGAGATGACAAATCCTCCTTTTCTTTAACGAAAAGCCCTGTTTTGAACTTGGGCTTGACAACAAAGGTAACTACCCTTCGGGGCGTGCACGAAGAACGGATGCAATTTACGAAACGAATTTCAAGGGCGGAAGTACTATTACAGTTCCAACCCTCGAAGTAATCGTTGAGAATAGAAAAAAGTGTCGACCGAGATTGTTGAAGCATACTTGCATCAGTCCCTTCTCTTAATACCTTGAAGAGTTCAACAATAAGAAATTCCAATTTTTCTTACAGAACTGTTCGTTATAAAATTCAAGCAAATTCTTCTCATAATACATATTGCTTTACTTTATTTCGGATCATTGTTGACACCTTTTTTCACAGTTTCATTGTTTTTTCAGTTTTAGGGGCTATTTTAAGTATAAGTTCCAAATTATATTCTTAATATTTTTCTCAATTCATTGTTTTTAAGCCTTCATATTTAAAAGGTAATTTTGCCCCCTAAACATGAATATCAGTAACTAAAAAGAAATACGTGTCTATTTTCCGATTCTCTAACTGTGTGCACAATTTTATCAAAATCGGCGTGCAATCAGTTAACTGATGCCCCTGTAAAATGGCAACTCAACAACCGTCGGTGTTCCAACGACACACTTTGAAACGATAAAATTATATCCAATCTTTTCCCGACTGTTTTGAAATAACAAAGATATTCGAAATGAACAGCATTAAGAAATCAGCCTGCATTTTACATACGAATTAAAAAGAAACTATTGAATTTTCAGGTTACTTCGAAAAACGATGCGATCATTGGCTACGGGCCAGTAGTGCCAGATGGTTACGGATGCGCTTACAACTTCAGAAATAACGGCTTCATATTTTCGGTATCTGCTTTTCATAGTGACGGTAGAACGAACACAACTCGCTTTGCTCAAACACTCGAGCAAAGCTTGCGGGACATGGCGGATATGCTGAAGAAGGCGACTCACCGATAAATGGCCAACAAGAATTACTCGAAAGGAGAGTATAAAAAATATCAATTAGATATAAAATTATTCTGAACCGGAGATCGAAATTCATTCGAATCTGCTGGTGAATGAATTTTATCGTAATGTGGATGGTAGACGTTTAACGGAAATGTTGTTATTGATATTATACCTATTTACCATTGACTGTTCGCGCTAGCATAATTTATTAGATATCGTTGATTTGATATTCTCTTTGAAACGAAGAAGAAAGAACGGATGTAACATCAGCACTGATAGTCACAAAACTAGTTCAATTTTCGTTAATTGTGGATGAACGCTTCTTTTGATACGTATAATTATAAATTAATGCTTCACTCATCTTCATGAACAATTCACTGTTTCAGTGATCATTAGGAAATCGTTGTTTCATTTAGGGCCGCATTTACCATAAGGCGCATTACGAGGCCGCATTTTAAAATCTTGCTTCTTACAAACAATATAAATATGAAATTCATATTATAAAAACAACTTTTAGTTATTAATTTTTGTATTTAAATTTGAACTGATTTACTTTTATACATTTTTTTAATGCAAATATATGTATACCAATCTTGTGTTACTTTTATTTTATTGAAATAAGTTATTGTGAAAATGTTGACTTTTATTTTCAATAAACTTAAAGAAAGATATGTGTGAATTCGATTAACTGAAATAGGCTTGTTCTTTCGAGGCCTTGTAACGATGTTGTGCCTAGGGCCTCCAAAAGTATAAATGCGGCCCTGCTTTCATTCATATTCCTAATAAAATTATGAATATGTGAGTACAAATTGCTCCAATAAGTTGTGCCTTCGGTGTTTTGTCAGTTAAAATGTTCGATGAATTATAAATATAATAACAGTAATAGAGACATTAACAATGCACAACAAAAACGAATTAAAAAGAGTAGAATTTCTGGTTTTGATTCATAAACGTTGAGGTTTTCAAAATGTATGAAGAATTCTTACGAAACAGATAAAAATGACAAATTTTGCTCACAACGAAGAACGATTTTATGTTCCAGCATATAATTTCGCAAAATCTAAACTATATTTAACTAATGAAATAATTTTGATCTTTAATATTATTTTAGACGGAATATATAACAGTTTCGCTAAATACAAAGTGAACGGCATAACGTGATCACCTTAAATTATTCTATTCTTATTACTAAGAACAGGTTTACAACGATCGAAAATTTTTTTGTGTCGCATAATGTGGTTCAAAAAGGCTTTCAAGATAACTATAGCATACCCTTTTATTAGTTGTTTTATTTTTAAGTTTTTAGGGTCATCTTCAGATTTTTATAGATAAATACAGATGTTATAAAAAGCAGGGCACCATTTTAAATATCTTTGCAACATCCTACAAAAGATGGGAGTAAAAAACTTATAGGCTTACCAATAAAAAATTTAGGGTGACCTTGAAAAAAAAGAGACAATTGATATAAAGTATACTACAGTCATCTAACTGGTCTCTTTGAACCATATTATGCAACACAAAAAGATTTCAATCGATCCACTAATAAGAGAATAATTTAAGGTGATCATGTTGCATGGTCATTTAAGTTAAATATTGTATATTTAAGTTAAATACTGCTATTACAACTTTTGTATGTACCAAAACAATGTTGCACCAGCGATACCGATATTAGACTACGAAGAATTTAGATTGGCTAAACAGAAGTAATGCGTGAAAATGTTTCTTTAAGTGGCACAATTTACTTAGTCATATTATACAGGGTGTCTCAGTTTTTTTTACGATAAAATTTTGTCACTATGTTCTAGGGGTATAAGTAAGAAAAAAAGGTTATATAAATATAGGTCATTTAAAGCTTTATTAAAAAGTTATAACAATAATACGAAATACGAATGGAACGGTAACAGATGTGAGGTTATAATACAAAATAGGAATAGATCAGCGATATGTACTTACATCTACATACAGTATATAGTCTGTTTGTGTGAACTGTGTTTGCTATTTGAGATCGTTGAAAGTGTTGAATGTAACCTCTGCCAGTGCCATTCTTATCTGGTATCATAATAATCGCAAGTTCGTTATCATTCCCTTGGTATTTCGTACTTTTATTATGATTTCTTAACGAAGCTTCCAACGACTTATGTTTATATAACCTATTTTTCTTACCTATACCCCTAGAACATACTAGCAAATTTAGATCGGAAACAACTGGAATACCCTGTATATTCATCCACAAACCCTTCTATTACAAACAACATAACTATATTAAGATATCTATCGTTACCTCATTTATTACTATACCGTCCTCAACATATCAAGAGGAAGTTGTGTGACAGTCTCTTAATCCTCGATACATACCTACGAAAGACTCTTTGCAATCATAGGCACTAAAATCTCGTTATCTGTTATTAAAATCACGTGTACAAATATTTATCCTGATAATCTACGACCAAGGCCGTACAAACTAAAAGAAAAACGTTTAAACGATATTTACTGCGTGTAGTAGGCAATATATGTAGATCAATTGGTCACTGTAAAACGCTAGTCCTGTTATAAAGATCCTCGAACGTTTACGTCCGAGCGCTGGAAGTTCCTTTCCTCCGAAAGCGAACACTTTCGTTATTTCTGCATCGTTTGGTTGTAATTGTATATTAACGGTAGCTAACTAGTAGATAGTTAGCTAATTATTAGTTATAACCTGTATTATTGAACTGTCGGTGCTTTGACGAGTTTGATCTTGTCACTTTAAGTGTTCTATAGCGAAATGTAACGTTAAATGTAAGCGAACGATTAGTTAGTCATATTTAGGGATATTTAGAGAGAGACTATGAAAGTGTCTGTACGCGTAGCCTGAAAACATTTGACAGGAACGTTGCGAATTTCGAATAATTTAATAAGAGCAACTCGATGATTAAATGAGATATATTAATACGTTTAAAGGTAACGAAATTTTCCTTTACTGTTCGCTCGACGAACATAGATATTATTGTTAGTTGTTTTAACATGAAATGTACATTTGATTGGTTCTTATACGCAAATACCAAAAAAGGTATTCAAGATATGGTATTCTGTCTCATGAAATGGTTTTGATTAGAACAAAATTACCAAGTACATAATTATCTATGTACATAAAAATATGCTACTTGTGTAGTTTCCTTTCGGTATAAGTTAATTTTTTGCGTAAGTAGTTGATATACTGTAGTTGCTTTATTCAAAATTATTCCATATCGTATTATCTAACACACTCTTCGTTTATATATTTTGCATAAACACCTTAGTAAATTTAATTATTTAAGCAAAAGATTTGATAAATCATAATCCTTACATAATCTTCTTTTCTATTAGAAACTTGTTAAATACTAAGTACAAAATACCTATATTTATGAAGTTACATTTACTAAATTGTTATAGATATGAAAAGTTTATTTATATCTAGATCAGATCAAAATTATAAAATTGCTATCGAGTACCAAACATACTCGTACTAAGAACTTTAAAAATTCATCATCTGCGGCATTAACCTTAATTCCCCGATAAGAAATTGCAACGAAGAGACAGAATACACGAGTAAAAGTTGTGAAACTAAATAACTTGATAAGGTAGAGAAAAAATTTCTAGCGCACGGACCTCGTCTGTCGCAACACATTTTAAACGTGGCCAATCGTCGTGTGTTGGCGCCCGCACAGTAAACTCTTGTCCAATTCTTAGATAGGTCGGCGATTTGCCGTTCGATAGACTGGCGAACGTTGACAATAGCTCTATCTTTCTATCACATTAATGTTCTACGTCTAATTAATCATTACTGTAACGAATACTACTTTTCCTGACTATCAAACTTCTTCGATAGTAAGAAAATTCGACTTCCCTTCCAAAGAAATGCAAACGTTGTTAATGACGTTACTCTCGCGCTGATACAAACACGCGACACACACACATACACACACACACACACACCTATACGTATGCATAGGATAGCACTTGTTATGTATTACAACGTATTTGTTGACATTATTCATATTTTACGAAGCTATACATTAGTTTTGTTATAAACTACATACATTCATTGTGCAAGTACACGTGCTTTAAAATCGTATTTAAGGTTTGGCAAAGTTTTCTCGTGTCAAAGTGTAAATGTTCTACCCAAAAATAGAATTGTATCTATATAATATTGTCGTTAGGTGATGAATTTGTTGCATATTAGTCTAAATCGGAAGTTTTATATTCAAAGTTTAAGCAATTCTGCTTTGCTATCAATGTAAAGTTAATCTTTAAACAACGCGAGGAATTGTGGTGGTTCGTTATATTGTTACTGAATAAAATTATATATAAATACTATACAAATACACATACATGTTCGCATATATCAAGGCATTCGTTTAAATGCAAAAGATCTATACATGTTTTCGCGCATATGTGTACGATATATGAAAGTGTTCTGTATTAGTTTTAAGCTGCAAATACCTATTAAATTTAAGGTAAAATTAAATATTATTATTGCAAGTATTTAGACGTATCGCAAAATTACTGCGATCGTATCTTCACAGCCAAGAATATCGCGCATATCAGGCGAAAGCCATTATAGCGATGATTTTATGGAATAGGACATATCTTCATGAATCGATAGAATTATTTATGAAATAAAGTTAACTGAACTAAAATAATATATAAAATAGAGTTCAGTTAATCGGTTTGCGAAATACTCGTCTTCGTATGCAATATGTCTAGTAATATTAAAGTTGTAAGCACATTTCACTTTCTGTTAATATGGAAAGTATACACAGCATACCTCTGTAATCAACTAATTTGCGGCAAGTATGTTGTATCATGTGTAAGTTTTTTCCTGCAAGAATAAACACTATTGTGACACCACCTTTCATTTTTATTTCCTTCTTTTTTTAATACATTTGTTTGAAACATAATACAATAGTGAACTAATAAACAAATAAGAATAATATATTTTACATATTAGAAAATAATTTAAAATATATTTGTGAACGTATTATGCAAATATCTTTTTTAGAAACTGGAATGACAAAAATTTACATGCATCAACAGCTACATAGTATTTTGATGTGACAGTATTAAAACAATATTTACAAGTAATGCATATGCTAAAATGTTTCTTTAACATCCTTATTTTAATTCTGTGCAACCAGTTTGTAACAAATTAAATGAAAGTACTTTTGAGAGTATGAGTTATCAATATATTTAACCTGATGCAGGCGATAATGACATTACAAAATTTGTAAAACTTTCAAAATTAAAGAATATACAATTTAATGTTTAAATTATGCTTAATGACGTGATATCGTCAAGTCAGCATTAACATCTTCATATGCTTGTGCAAATGGAAGTGTAAGTAAGACACTTGCAGTTAACCGTTTCTTCGGATCATGTTGTAAACATTTTTTAACTAAATCAATGCCTTCAATCGAAAGATTTTTTGGTAAAGCTGGACTTTCACCCATTCCCACCTAAAAAAATTATGCATCAAAGAGAAAATTGTAAAATGTATATATAAAAATATGATGGAACATACATCATAATTGTTGTAATATACCTTAAACATGATTTGATAATTAGAATCGTAATCTGACCACGGTCTTCGTCCACTAGCCATTTCTATGACGCAACAACCAACCGACCATATATCAGCGGCTCTACCATGACCACTACTTTCCGACTTCATAAATACTTCTGGTGCCATATAAGCTACGTTCAAATATTAGATATTAAATTATTTTGTTAAATAAAAGAATAACAAGTACTATAGTATAGGCCACGAATTTTACCAACTTAAAGCTATTGAGCTATTTTCATTATTTTCCTTGGACAATTTCTGTTCACTGTACCTCATCAGCTATACTAACATATGTGGCCTTTACTTTAAACGAAGTAAAAACTGAATCTCACCTTGAGTACCAACAAAACCCTGTAATTCACCCGGCATAGTTGTATGTGCTTTAATTTGTACTGCACTTCCAAAATCACCAAGTTTCAAACAATTACCCTCATCCGTTAAAAAAATATTCGCAGCTATATATGCAATATAAATATAGCATGATTGACATATTGAAAAATTCATATATGAGTATGATACATATTATTACTATTATCGTTATTATTAATAGTTTCATACTATATAAACATACATTTAATGTCTCGATGTACTATTCCATGAGAATGAAGTGCTGTTATAGCTAAGAGAAGTTGATGAGTATATTTTCTAATTAATGATTCCGGCAAACCATTCCCGCTTCCTGCTACTAGACTTTCCAAAGTTCCCTCCGCGCAAAATTCCATAAAAATCAACATTTCTTCCTGCAAAAAGATCGATACCTTCAATAGTATTTCATTAAATACGTGTATTTATGTAGTTTATAACATGCGTTAACGTACACGATGAATTTCTAGCCCATAATATCGAACTAAATGTTCGTGTTGAATTCCTTCAAATATTTGTAACTCCTCAGCAACACGCCTAATGGCCCTATGGTCCCCGGGTTGTATTTGCACTTCTTTCATAGCTAATAATTCACCAGTTTGATTATTAACTATGGTATATACTTTACCAAATCTCCCTTGCCCTACAATTAATGGCTTTAATACAAGCTGTATACTAATATAAGAATAACTATATAGAATGTTAGAAAGATAAACGATCAAACTGTGTCAGTATGGTTTATGAAAAGAAATGAAGAAGAAATATCATTTAAACATAGGCGCGGAAACGCTTTATCAAAAATTACAACAAATATATTACGACGTAGAAGTCAGCAATGTTTATTTAAATCGCTTATACCAGCAGTATTTCTTGTTTAAAATTATTGAAAATTTATGTTATCATGTTGCATTAAAGAAAAAGAAATATTTCAAAATAGCATCTACCATATCTAATACTAGCTGAACATAGTTCATATATGTCGTGTTTGAGTTGAGTAAATATGCTACTATATCTTTCTGTGACTAGTATGTGCTTTTTCTTTTTACTTTTACATCAACAGACTATCAACAACAAATCCGTAGGGTGTACTGATACAAATTGTTTACCTTTGAAACACCATGTATTTTAATGGATATATAAACTTACCTATTTTAATACCCCGTTGCCAGGTAAAAGTAACTCTCCTTGCCTTAACACGAACTCTATCAACAGTTGCCTTATCTGTAACTTGCCCAATAAGTTCACGACTTCTTAACTTTTCATCAATATCGCATTCTACCTTTTTTATAGCCCGATTAATTCTTTCTTGCCTAGATATACTACGATCCAACGCATTTGCAACTACACCTACATTTCCATCGACTACACTTGGCGAAGAAGATTTTTTAATATTCGATGGAATATCAGGAGATTTAAGAGTATCTCTAGGTTTCTGAGAATGACTGAAACTTGCAGTTCTACTTCTAGTATGGCAAGGTGAAGATGCTCTTGAATGAGATAACCGTTTTAAATCTACAACAAAATAAGATAACGAACATCCGTTTAAAATACAAATACCAGTGAATCACAGAATAAAAATAGAACTTTACTTTCTGTTTCCACAGTTGTAACAGGATTCGTGCTTCCAATGACGTGTGAGATACAACGGTCCATGCAAGTTTTTAATTCTTCAAACTCCACATCCGTTAAATGTTTGGTATTGTGTGGTTCACATACTGTAATTAAGAATTCTAAACCTTGATTTGCCCATCGGGGTCTTAAACCTCTCCCACGTTCACATCGTGTTCTAACAAATTCCATCCACAAAAGAGCAAAAGAAACTAAACTTCTAGCTAAAACAGTTTTTTCTTCGAGGGCAAATAATTTACACGTTTCCTTGTGATAATCGAAACCCATTCGATAAGCCTGGTGAAGTATTTCTCTTACTCTAGAACGCATAGCAAATTGATCACATTCAGTATTTGGTTCTTCTGCTTGCTCAAGGTCACGTTGAAAATTTTCAATAACACTTGTAATGCTATATCTAAGATCCATAACCGTTTCCTAAATAAATAAAGAATGTTTTATATAAAATACAATTCTACTTCCTTAATCCTTAATAATTCTCACCTTTAAAGTATTTAATGACTTCTCTAATTCCTTGTTGAAAACAGACCATTTTTCAATGTCACGCTTTAAACATTTAACAAGAGTAACACTCTTAACTACCTTTTCTCGAACCTCTACAAACATTCCTTGCCATTCACGTCCCACGAACATAAGTTGAAATCTGAACCATACATCACAATGAAATAAATATTTATTTTTTCTAAACAAGCAAGTTAATCCGTTCTTACCTATTTGACCAGTCGTCGTCGCTCCATTCTTCAGTAGTTTCTTTTATTTCTCGAGGTCTCTCATTAAGATATTCTTTAACTTGCTCAAGCATCGTTTTTGCTATTTCACTATACATAAAAATAAGACGGAATGTACAATTTATTACAAAAAAATATTACAATATGGCACTTACCAAAATTTTACTCCTGCAATTGCATATCCATTCAATATATTTCCTGCTATCGATTGTACAAATATCCACTCATCCATAATCAAATTTTTATGGAAACTGTCATGCTGTACCATATCTACCCATTGCTGCAGATAATCAAGATACACTTCAAAAACATCTTTTAAACTTTCATCAAAATCTGTTACATCTTCTTGAAATAGATGTTCACAACCGTCGTTATCACTTGCAATTGCTGCACAAGAATGTGCAGCAAATCTGTCACGATGAATACACGCAATTCTGAGACCTTCCCTAAGTTCACGCATAAGTTGTCGAACCGATAACGGACTAGGTTGTTCTGGCTTTTGCTCTAATCTCATTCTTAAAAATTCGTGAACAACGTCTAATGGAACTCGAGATAGAAAAACAAACGCAGCTCTAAACAAATTTTTTTGTTATTTAATATAAAGATATAAAAATAAAAGCTAAATAATATACACAAATCTATTTTTGTACCTATATGATGGAAGGTTTAATTCTCTTGCTTCACAACTCCATGTACCATATCGACGCAATTCTTCATCACCTTCATACTCTTCATTTAAATTACTACATTTACTTATATCAACTTTCTCTAAGGTCAGTCTTGCTTTTCTCAGGACAGAAGTATGTAGTCTCTCAAGAAAATTTAGACTTTTTCTTAAACCTCTAGTTTTTAGTACATCTTCGATATATTTCCTAATTATTATAATCAGAATTTTAAAAAATTGATACAAGAAAGTGGGATTAATAAAATACAAAAGAGTTTTATATTAATGTACTAAATCTTACCTATACGCCTGTCGATCGAATTCAACTAAATAAAAGTCCAGACGGTCGGTTTTATCGTCATCCACAGATGTAAATGAAGTTTCAGGAGTAGAAGGCCAAGTTTGTACAAAAGATATACTAATAGAAGAATTATTACTATTATTACTATCCGAGGGGCTGGAATTTTCATCTTGTTGATTTAATACTTCAAATCGTACCAAAGTCCGTCTGTGTTCTGAACAATCGACTGTATCTGAAGATTTTGAACTGCAGGAAAGAATGTATTAAGTTTCACCTTTTAAGAACATCGTATTTAATTATATCACCGTTATTAATCCTAATACCTTATTCCAGAATCACAATTATCATCATGCTTTTTCTTAGTATGTAACATCATAAGTAGTTTTCCCAATATTTGTAGTTTAAGTCGATGATGTCTGGTCATATTGTACCAAAGGCACATTGCCTTTACTCTACCAGTACACTCTGTACTTTTATATAAAGGATAATGTGCACCAAAAGCTTGTGACGAAGGATAAAGCGCTTCTGCTGCTTCCAATCTAGTCAATAAACCTTCTATTTGTTGTAACGCTTCTCCCTGTGCTCGTGCACATGCTCTACAATACATTGAAAGACATCCTGGACAAACACCCAACTCTATATTCGGACTTGATCCAGGATTCATTATTCGGTCGACACATGTAGTATTCACATTGGCGCAGGGTATATTGTTATTTTTCACACTAGCAATAGGATCGTACCTGTAAACCAATTATATCATTTCCCACTTTGTTCCTAACTTTAATATATTCTTAAATAATTCACCTGTACTCCATTATTTCTTTAAGTAAACCTTCCACAGCCTCACGTTGTTTGCATAGATATTCGTCTTGAGCCATTGGACTACGATCAGCACGATGAGCTTGCAACTCTAGCCATATTAAATCTTTCAATTCGTTTTGCCATCGTGTTTCCTCGTGACTCATTTGACGACGGCAATTACGTTCTGTACTTCCCTAAAAGAACATGAAAAATTATAAAATATGAAAATTGTTGGTACATATATATTTATTCGCGTACATATTCATCACAAAATATTTATATACCAATTTAATCAATATGGAAAACGTATCGTGAAATATTTCTCTTTCTTTAAGACTCAACGTTTTCGGTGACTGTGCTATCAGCTCTTTATTATTCAAAATTTTTATTTGCTCATTAACAGTAACTTCAGCCTTTTTCTCTTCTATATCAACAGGCTTTGACCACAGACTACGAAATCTATTTCGAGTTTCAATCTGTAAATACTTTCAATTAGTTTTCATTTGAACAGTAGCCAAACAGCTATTTAAAATTTAAATACTGCAAAATAATTTTGTCCTCTTCTATTTATTTTATACCTTGATATGATTAGGAGTGGATAGTTGATAATGATCAAATTTCTCAGCATAATTGTAAGCTGCCTCCATATCGAGTTTTAAATCTCTTTCACTCCCCCGTAACACCTTCAAACTTCTTTTACATTTCCGATTTCCTTCTTTCGTTATATCTTGATTCGTCTCATTTTCCCAATCCTTGTCTGCTTTGTCACACATTTCATTGAAAATTATGTTATCTAGAGTATTTCGTCTACGAATCGTTATCTTCGATGATGCTTCTTTCTCTAACGATTTTGTTTCCCTAAAAATAATAAAATTCATTTTAAACCATTTATAAAATTATAAAATATGGTGATTGAACTATATTTCACTTTATTTTAGAAACGTAATTAACTTATGATATATTTCTTTACAATACATTCATATACACTTGTAATGGGGCATACATATGTACTTGTAACGATATATTAATATTTACATATTTTATATTGCATGTAAAATAAAACATGCACGAATATCGATTTTTATCGAATTTATCGTGTATGAATTATTCATTCCTAGAAATGTGTATGTTGAATGACCCACTAAAAACATCGCACGTAAATATTTTCCGTTAGGTTCATTATTACCATGTAAATTTTGTCTGTATCATAATTCCTTTTGGCAGTTACCAAGATCGTTTGTATTTTTTTTACGAATTACATTCTTTATTTAACGTAAATAAGAACACAAGACGATCGAAAATAAATATCAAAATTAATAAGATGTAGAAAACTGCAAGTTCTTTATCTTTCAAATGAACTGACTAGCGTAAAATTCAAACCGGAAAAAGTTATTGTATTCTCACTACAACAATACATAATTCTACTTAAAAATATTCTTTAGAGTAACATTAAAATAATTTTAATTTCTCTTATTCTAAACTAATAGTAGCATAATAGTAGCATAAAATTTGTTTATAATAAATAATTATTTATATATGTATAAGTAAATGTTACAATAATCTATTATATTATTTGCGATGTATAAAATACAAAGGGAAATGACGTAACGCGTAAATTTTGAAACGTATGTTATGTATAAATATTAAACCAGAATACATATGGAAATATTGTACTAAAAAGAAAGAATATTAGAATTATCATCGAAATAAAACAAATAAACACCGATTAACATACCCTCCATTGAGTTTTTGCTTCATGTATCGTTTCTTGCGATTTAGTCGAGTCCTAGGCGGTGTCTGTCCATAAATATCGCACATCGTTTGAATCGACTCATCAAATTCGCTCATCGGGCTACTTGAACCTTTTTTACTGCAAAAACATAAACCGTCCAAACGCACGTAAAATACCGAAAATGGACGATTGAAAAATTCGAACAGTACTAAAAACAGGTATTTTTAAAAATGTAACTCTAATAATTATATATGTATATTATAATAATGAAGGAAACTGTAGGATTACTGTAGGAAAGTAACCTGAAGTGAACGGATAATTTGACACGTACATACATTTATCAGTCTCGTAAATATACTTAGAGATTTTTAAAGTAATTAAGTAATATTAATTTTGTAATTCATTCAATTTATCATGTAACAGTAGTTATATGAAATATAAAAATATTTGCGAATACAGTACGTAACATCGTAATGTCATAAAAGCTGATTTAATTCTATGCGGAAATAGATTAATAATCAATTTCTTAATACTTTATTTTATATTTCTACAGTTTTAAACACAAATTATACACAATACATAAGCACATTGTAAAGATTATTTAGGTGAATTTTAAATAATCAAGCGTGTGTACATTCATCATCCATTTTAAACAACTCTATGCGTAGCAAGATTAGTTGTACTCGAATATATATATTAGATAACCATTTGATTGAATACATCTAAGTATGTACATATATATATGAAGCATACGCTCAGTTTTATATCGAATGCAGCAACCTTACAATGTTCCGTACAACAGGTACTGCAGGTATTAAAATAACGAACACTATATGCGATATTAGCAGCATGGCTTTGAACAATTACCTTAACAAACGACATAGACGATTAATTTTCTATATAACATCTGTGATCGTTTTTAATCGCGTAACATTGACACTTTGCCACGAACAAATGGCAGAGTAGGAAGTCAAGAGTCAATGAAATGTTGATAAATGTCGTCACTCCGAAAATGATACTCGTTTCACATAAACGATAAATACATGTAACTTATTTCAGCTTACTATTCACTGTAGTATATGTAATAGTAATCCACTTTTAAATGTTAAAAATGTTAAAAATCGAGCAATGTTAGGTGACATGTAAACAAAACGCAACGTCGTACCAATTGCGAATTTTGCCGGTGTTATACTCTACTTTGTATTTCATAAACCACGTGCTAACCTGAATATTCGAAAAACTTACCTAATGTAGCCGGTATCATCGTCAGATGAACTTGAGAAAGGATTTTCTGCAGCATAGCTTTGTCTATCGTAACTCAACATTCTTGATACATAACAAGTATATCGGACTCGAGCCAACGCTGTCGACGTTTACTAAAGAACTAGCGCAGGTGCAATATACTAGCGCTGTTGCCATTTAGAATGCAAACAGAAGTCTGATAAATGGAGTATCACGTGATAGCGCGGGAAATTTGAAAATGTTTTAAATACATATTGCACATTCAGATATACAGTTGCTGTCATTAATTTACGGTCACATTTAGAACAGTATAACTTTTTTAAAATTGGACAAAACAAATTAAGTTTTTTTTTGAGAAGTTAGAAGGATTAGTTTACTAGATGGCGTATACAAAAAATTTTGAAAAACTTGTAATTTTTGGGAATCGCGAAGAAAATTGTAGAGGTCACTGTATACAACTTCTTTATCTGAGCTTGTGAAAATTTAAAACACGTTTTGTAGATTTGTCTTATATATATATATACATAATATGAAAATGAAAATTTCATCAAAATCAGATGATGCAGAAACAAGCGACAGGCATAGAAAGATACAAGAATCTTTAAATTTATTACAATTATAGGCCGAAAGTCGTGAGAAACAGTGATTTTCACAAGTTTTAACAGTTTGCAGCTTATAGCAACGTTAACCTATGTAAGAAAACAGCAATATAAGAATTAGTGTCAACTACACATCTTCAAATCGATTCAGTATTATTATGAACCCAACAATATTTATCTGTGTATATTAATTGTGGTTTCTCATTAAACATGCCGATTATAAACTGAATATTATTGTAACATATACTTGCTCATTTAGGGGGGTATTCTAGTGTGACAGGTCCAAAAAATTGATTTTTTTTTTTTACATATCGAAAGTACAGCACTTTAAAAATATGCTTCTAAAATATTATAGTCGCATTCAAGAAAATGACGAAGGCATATCTTGTTTAGTGTGACGCATCAAAAGCCGGCGATAGGGACAATAAAGTTTCGCAACAGTAAACCGTGTGGTAATCTGCAATACATATGTGAGATTTACTTGGATTTGTGATGGAGGTTCAGAAAAGTGTAATAAGATAATAATAATAATAGTTTACTAACACAAATAAAGAAATAAAATAAAAACCAAATGTCTACGTTAACTATAAACCATCCTCTCCTTTTTTGGCAGTAATTATATTTAATAATGGATTTTTCTCATTTTTAAAGTATTATCAGTAATAGGGGTAACAATCGGTGAAGAAATTGAAATATATGTGAACTGCTGTAACAAAACTCGCATCAATCGCTCAGAACAACGCATAAGTGACTTCACTAAAAAAGTTAGAACTGATCGGAACGAAAAAAGAACAGCTTAACAACATTTGTTTCAAGAAGAGGAAGGTCCCCTCTATGGTCCTAGACTAGCCGTATAATGATAAATAAAATTATCGCTATGTAACCCTTTATACGCGTTTTTCTCGAAACCATGTTTTTTGAAATGATTGCCACGTATCTCAAAAACTACTGTGCCAATCGAACTGAAATTTTGCGTATGCTTCAACACATGCATGGCTATAGCCGGTAGTAAAATTATACCAAAATATATTTTTTTCTAATTTTTATCATGATTTATCATTCAATGATTTTATCAAATCATGGCAACCATTAACGTATTTTTTTTTCATGCCCGTGTTTGACGTGTTCCATTGCAGTCAAATTTAATTTTTCAACGAAAAAATTTGTAATCATCCTCCAAAGGCAAGTAAATACATAGGAATAAAGCTTATGTTAATAACTATTACTGAATTTCTATAATAAATTTGCAAAGAAGTCTAAAAAAGACGGCTGTCACACTAGAATATCCCCTTAATAACCAAATTAAGAAGATATGTATTAATATCAGTTATAAAATATTTGAGCAAAGTTTAAACTTACGAGTGCACTTTTAAAACCATATATTACCCTTATTAGAATAT